GGAGTGCAGGCCCGAGGTGCCGGGGGTGAGCGGAGTCACAGGAGACAGAGTGGGGAGCAGAGCAGGCCGATGGACTGAAATCCGTACAGAACTGGGGTGCAGGCCTGAGGAACTGGGGGTGAGCAGAGTCACAGGAGACAGAGTGGAGAGCAGAACAGGCAGATGGACTGAAATCCGTACAGAACTGGGGTACAAGTCCGAGGTGCTGGGGGTGAGAGGAGACACCAGAGACAGTGGGGAGCAGAGCAGGCCGATGGACTGAAACACACTGGGGGAGCAGCAGGGAGACAGGAGGGCTCTGCCACGCCACGTGGTACAAGATGGAACTCGGGCCACAGTGGCTGGCGATAGCTTGAGCGTGAGACTTTAACTGCCGTGCCACCAGGGAGTCCCGAGACCTTTTTTTTTTTAAGGTAAAAGATTTGCTAGAAAGTGTTCATGGGTAAAATTACCCTCGATCAACACCCCAGACATGCATTTGTGATGTCTGGGGTGCGGCTGCAGGTGGATTCTAACACCAGAGGAGGAACTAATCAGAGTCCTGCTGCAGGCGTAAAGCCCCCCTGCAGCTCAGACCAGATTTCCCCAGCAGGAGATCTCCTCCAGAAACAGGGCTGCGGCGGGGCTGCTCTGTCCCAAGGCGCAGGAGAGTCCCCTCGGCACCCCCCGGCGCGGACGGCTGTGCTGCGGGCTTCCCTCGGTGACACGAGGTGGCCGTGCCAGCCCTCACGTACCTGCTCGGTCACTCTCTTGCAAAACACGGCGAGCAGGACGAGGGCCGCTATGGGCGCCGCCAGGTAGTTGCTCGTCCCCATCACTAGCTCAAACACTTGCTCCTGGTACGCGGTTTGCATAAGAGTGGCCCAGGTGATGGTGATAGCAAATAGAACGATGACAAAAAACCTGTAAAGGACACCAACAGCCAACAGCAGTTTGCCGAGCCCTCCCGCTCCCCACCTCCCCACCACCAGCGGTAAATAGCTCCCCCCTCCCCGAACTAGCTAAGCCAGGTGCCGCTTAGTATTTGTGGAGTAGGGAGGACGATCACACCAGGAGGACCACGAGCGTGCAGGCCACACACCCGTGAACGAGGCAAAGGGGTGTCTGTCTGTGAGTCACCGGATCACGGAAGGATTGTTCCACTGGAGGGTGGGCTTGCTTAAAGACATTACCTTTTTATGGTGAAAACAATTTATATTTGGAATTAGCCAGCTGGACTTAGTTTCAATGATCCTCATTTTGTCTTTAATATTTCTGGAGGTGGGTCGAGGTAGCAGGATACAGAGGCTGCAGATTCAGAATGGCTGAGGGAACTACAGTGGAGGAAGAACAGAGAGCTACAGAGTCATGTCAGAGGCCCTCAGCAGAGAGAAGCTCAGTGTGTTCGTGCACCAGCATGTAGCAGAGAGGCTCCATGCAACGGAAGGCCAGACACCATTAGGAACACGAAAGTATCAGTACATTTCAAGAGATGAAGGATCTCATAAGATACCCTCTGCCGTCAAAGACATAAATTAGGAAGCCGTACGAGAGAGACAGCAGGAAAGCACCGAATGCTTGGAAATCCATCAGCACACTTCAAAATGATCTACAGCCAAAGGCAAAAGTGACCAGAAAATTAGAAACTATTTTGAGCTGAATTAAAACGAGGACACAGTATAGCAAAACCCGTGTGATGCGGCTAAACAACAGAGTTTAGGGGAAACGTTCAGCTTTAGCAGGTAACAGCCAAAGAGCTTTGAAACCGGTGATTTGAGTTGCCACTTCAGGAAACTAGAAAAAAGAGCAGGGTAAATTCAAAGAGCATAGGAAAAAGGAAGTAATAAAGAACAAAAATCAAAAGTGAAAACCAGAAATGGGCAACCTCAGAAAGCTTGTTAAAGCTGATAACCCTGTAGACATGTTTGACCAGGAGGAAAAGAAAAAACGAGACACATTTCCCAATTGTAAGCAGCAACTCAAGAAATTACCAATGTCAAGAATGAAAAACCATGGCTGGAGCTCTACAAAAGCGTGACCATACAGCAAAGTCGGGGGGTGAGCGGGGGTGAGCGGGGCCAGGACACCGTACACCCACCCCGGGAACGGGCCCCTCAGGCCGCCGTCGTCATCGCTGGAGACTCCACCGCTCTCATCTATCAGACCACTGTTATTAACAGGGAAAGTGGCGCCGTCCAGATTTCTCCGTACATCTGAGAGGGGCTGGTTCCCCAAATGCTTCGGGACGGTCCATGTGGGACGGCGGGAAGGGGGTCAGCGCACACGGCTCAGGCGCCCTGTGAGGCACGGGGCCGCCCCTGGCCGCCCCTGGAGTTCTGCTTTCTAAGTCGTTCCTCCAGGAAGCCGTCCCGTCACGATGGCTTAGAGGAAGAACTCATCAGAGACTCCGAAGGGGACAAAGCTATCGCGCCGTCTCTTTTGTCAATAAAGTTTTATGGGAACACATACACACCAATATAAAAGCATCTTTCAGACGCAGGCTCATCATCACGGCCCCAGGCTCCGCTTTCCGCAGAGCCAAAGCTAAGCGACATCCGCTCGGCAGCGGCATCTGTCGCTCAGGGCCCTCAGCAGACAGGTGCTTCGGAAACACACCCGAAACCTGTAGGGGCTCTTGCCTCGCTCGAGACTGGTCAAACAAAAATTGCCAGGACTAGGATTTGCTCATGCATGTATGTGCTTTCTCCATTTTTGTTTTGGTCGGTGTTGCTTTCTCTCAGGGTGGTAGAAATTGAAGCCAGCTGAGTACAGATCCTCCACGCTGTTGGCCTCTGTCTGCTTATGGGTGCCTTCAGACTCGCTGGTGGTCACCGATGTCAACTGTTGATCACCCGTCATGCGCATGTGACTTCTGATTGTTTCATTTTCTGTGCTTTCCTCCCCGCCCCGCACACCCCTCCCCCCCCATTTATTCCTCTTTGCCCTTCCAGGTGACTTTCCTTAGTATTTCTGTGAGGTTTTTTGCTTCTTCATCTGTGGGTGTCTACTCTGGATTTCGGGTAGCAGCTACCGCGGGGGTTTTACCCCTGCTCTAAGTCCTCTGTGAGCTGGGGTCAGACACTGAACGGTCCGTTTCCGCCTGGCCTTCCTCCCCTTCATTGCCGGCTCACCTGCTCCTGCACCTAGTTCTGCGTGCCCTTGCATTTGCTGAGGCTCTTGTTTGTTTTCTCTTCTCTGGAAGAAGGCCTTTCAGCTCTAACGGCGGCAAACTCCCTCACCTTCTGTTTGCCTGAGGAACCTTTATAGCACCTGCATGGCTCAGGACCCTCTGCAGGGCAGAGGCTTCTTGGCTGGCAGCTCTTGCCTCCAGGTTGAGACTATTTCCTTCCATTCTCTTCTTGCCTGGAGAGTGTCTGGGCTGAAATCTGTGGAAATCCTAATTGGGAGCTCTTGTAAATTATTATTTTTTCCTTGTTTCTTGCCAACATTTTTCTTTATCTTTGATTTCTGATAAATTTACATGATGTCTCTGGGTGTAGGTCATTTTGCTTTAAGAAACTTAGGTGTTCTCTCTGCTTCCTGAGCACCCCCATATAACTCATTCTGTAGGTCTGGGAAGTTTCCTACAATTTCTGTTGAATAATTTCTGCTCCTGTTTCCCTTGCGGCCCCTTCTGGAATCCCGCTGCCTCTCGGGTTTGCTCTTCTAGTTGAGTTTGATATGTCTTGTAGGGTTTCCTCATTTTCTCTTGTCTTGACTCTCTTGTCTTTTACACACGTGATTTGCTCATTTGAGCCTTCTACAACAGTAATTAGTTCTCCTGCCAGTTTCATTCTATTTAAAGTGCTTTTTGAATTTGCCTACATTTCATTCAGAGTCTCTTTTTCTGGTTTTTGAAACTATATTCACTCTCTCTGCTGAAGCAGTCTCTCTGTCCCTGGATGTCCTTTCTGAGGTCTCATGTCTGTCTGTCTGTCATTGCCTGGTGTCCCAGTATCTCATCAAACACTTTTGACAGTGTGGCTTTGAAGCGGTGGGCGGATGGTTTCCTCTCTATTCCACATGAGTCCTGGGTCGGGACTTCTGCGCCTCTCATCTTGCTTTTCCATCTTGCTCAGGTGTTTCTTGCTTCCGAGGCGTACCTCTGGCCTCACCTGGAGTTGTCTGTGCGTGAGTACGGTGTTGGGTCACCAAGGATTTAGCCTCGCTCGTTTCTCCTCTCGGTTAACCTTGGCAGGTAGTGGAAGTAGGAGTGAGCCTGAGCGTTCCCGTTTGACTTCAGTTTGAGGAGTGATGTTAGGGGCCTCTCCCTCGGCCTCTTCCTCAGCAAGCTGGAATCTGGGCTGAGCTTGTCTGCACTTCACGCTGCCCCCCTGCTGTTCTTTCCCGCTGAGGGTCACAGCAGCGCAGCCGGGGTCTCCCAAGGGAAGGAGCAGCTTCTGGACCACGGGGCGCCAGCCCGGGATTAATGTTCGCCTGGCCCGGAGGGGGCGCTGGGTATGTGGCAGGCACAGTGCCAACTTGACACCGGCCACTCACAAAGACCGTCACTGCCCAGCCCCCGCCCCTGCTGCTGCCTCTGCAGGGCTGGTCATGTTGTGTGTCCTCTGTGACTTTCTCAAAGTCGGCAGTGAAGTCATGGGAGATACTCGGAGTCAGTGTACTAAGAAGCCTTTGAGCATCCTGCTCAGGAAACAGAGGAAATGGAAAACCACAGGCAATCAGTCTGCATCGAGACCAGTCGGAAATGTATTAATTAGGGGATTTAGCTAAGAAGTCTCCTCATGGAAGCTGCAAGATGGCTTCTCCCGCGTGCACGCCAAAGACGCAGAGATGATGGGACATCCGGAAGGAGCGGGGATCACAAGCACATGAGTCAGATGTTAAAAGCAGACACTGCAGTTTGCGCTCTGATGTGACCACAGTTCTGGCGGAGGCGAACGTCCATGTAAGCCATGTTAAGAAAGCTGTTGATGCAGAGGACGGGGGTTGGCAATCCGGTGCCTGCTGACCGTGCTTTACCTTGCCTGCTGCAAGGTATTTTTTTACTAGCTCTTGCAAAGCAAAGAAAGTGGAGCCCTTTGCTGTGGATCAAGTCATATCCGGGCCCAAGGCTGTCACCTGACAATGCTCCAAACTACAGATTTAAATCTTTACAGATAAAGGCAGGTGCTTCTGCGCCACAGTTTCGTGCTGGTTCAGTTACTATGCAGCGAGTACTCTTACTCTGGGCACACCACCCTAACGGAGCCTGTGTCACGCTACGCAAGCAGGGACCTCCTGTCCCTCCCACGGCAAAGGTCAACAGTGCAAAGCCAGAGTCCCCGGCTGTAAAAGCATCCATGCCTGCAAAATCGGCTGTTCTCAATGCTCTTCAAACTCCCTGTTACCACTAACATGGTTTCGTCACAAAATACCATCAACGAACACTCAACTGAATAGAAACAAAAGTGTGAAGATGATGACGGTGTTCGTGATAGCAAGGGCTACAGGAATCGGACTGTAACCATAATGCATGCAGCAAGTGTACTTCTCCTTGAGTCCACTGTGCTGAAATTAAACAAGAAGTTTGAGAAAACGTAACTCAATGAGTAGAGTTATCATTCTTTCCAGTTGAGATGCTGGAATTAATTTAATAGACTTAATAATATTTTTTCATTAGTCTTTAAGTATAAAAAAAAACTATCATTCACTGAAAACCAAAAAAAAAAAAAAATTGTGAACGGCTAGCAATAACTTAACTCAGACGAAATGGACAAATATTTTGAGAAATTCGACTTGACAAAACTGACATAGGACATAGAAAAACCTCAAGAGTAACATATCTATTAAAAATTGAATTCAAAATAAAAATATTTCCATGAAGAAAACATAATTTAGAAAGAACTACATAATGTGATTGGTGAATTCTAGCAAGTACTTATTAAATAGCTCTAATTTCGAACAAACTCTTCTCTATATTGGTAGAGTTAGCAGTTCCCAGATCAGTTTACAAGGACAAAATAAACATCAAACCAAAGCATTTTGTTAAAGACATTATAGGAAGAAATTACAGGCCTCCAGTCCCCATAAACACAGGCGGAAGAATCCCTAACAGAATATTAAAAAAAAAAAAACAAACTAAGGAACAGATAAAAGAAAATCATACAACAAGCCCAAACAGGGCTTAAATGTCAGCTTCTCAAGGTTGGTTAACACTCAAAAGTCAGTACTTGGCGTTTACTGCGTTGACAGAACAAAAACAAAAACCTACGATTATTTTACCAGATGCGGAAAACCACTGGACGCTGGTCAACACCCTGGGATACTCCACCCCACTTTTCAAAAGACGTCCACTTCCACAGTGCACAGCCTTGGAATTCAGGGCTACACACTGGGTCAACCCCTTTGGAACAACATGGTGGCGGTTTCTTAAATGTTAAGCATACATCTGCCCCCACCCGTCACGTCCACCCCAGACATTTATCCAGAGCGGTAACGTTTAGACTTGCACAGGAAGGTGAGTAAGCTCGTTTGGAACAGCCTCGACCAGGAACAACACACATGTCCACCGACAGGACCGTGGACCATGACTGTGGTGTGTTCATGTGACGAGACGCAGCAGTCAGCAAGGCAAGGGAAGAAGCTGTGGAAGCAGCAACACGTGGAGAGACACCGAGGACATATGTTCTATGAAGCCACGCACAAGACTGTGCACTGTACTTTTTGCGTTTATAGCAGCATTCGCGTTTCCCGCTGCTGAATCCTCTCACCGTCCCGTATTCGCCTTTAACCCTTCTCTTGCCCCGTATCCGTGTCCCCTGGCTTTAAGTGGTATTTTGCTCCTGTAAGTCATCCACAGTGTAGAAGTCCAGTGTTTGCCTCTGTCATTCTGACTTGCTTCAGTGCACTAATTTCCTCCTTCCGTTTTGCTATAAATGGCAACGTTTCTCCTTTCTTCATGACTGGATAATAATATCCACTGTGTGGCTACACCACATCTTCTTAATTGAAGCCTTTATCAGCGGGCACTTCGGTCGTCCCCACGTCCTACGTCTTGTAAGTGATGCTGTGGTGAACACTGTGGAGCATACAGCTTTTTGAGGTGATGGCTTCGTGCTGTTTGCGTAGAGGCTCAGGAGTGGGATTGCTGGCCAGAGGGCATTCCCATTTTTTAGTGTTCTAAATTTTTGTGTAGAAGAATTGGGGTGTAGGCTAGAGGTGCAGGGGGAGGGGGCAGGGTCTGCTGGCCCTGTGGGTCACTCCCTGGCCGGAGAGTGGGCACTCAGGCCACAGTGGTGATAGTGCTGAGACTTAACCCCTATGGCACCAGGAAGGCCCCTTAATTAAATTTTGAATAGTAAGCTTCTTTCATTCTTGGAATAAACTCCAGATGGCCATGGCCTATGATCTCTTTTATATGTTTCTTGTCTGGAGTTGTCACTGTTTTGCTTTAAGTTTCTCTATCTATGTTCACACTTGCAAGCTTTCTATCATCAATTTTATTTTAAAGATGTCTCTCTTCAGTAAAAGTGCAGGACACAAAACCAGCATACAAAAACTAGTCACGTTTCTATACATTAACGATGGATTATATAAAAAAGAAACACAGGAAACAACCCCATTTATAATAGCAATAATGGAAACAATAATCATAAAAGTAATAAGATATTCAGTAATACACTTAACCAAGGAGGTGAAAGATCTGTATACAACTGAGTAGTATAACATCGCCGAAAGAATCTGAACTAAAACCTTGATCAAAGAATTTGAAAAAAGACACAAGTAAATAGAAAGATACCTATGTTCATGGATTAGGTGCATTAATGTTTTTAAAATGTCCATACTACCCATCGATCAAAAGCCATCTATTGATTCAATGCAGTCTTCATCAAGAGCCTATTATCTTTACAGAAATAGAAAAAAAAATCCTTAAATTTGTTTGGAGCCACAAATGACCTTGAATTGACATAGCACTCCTGGGAGAGAGGAACAAAGTCAAAGGCATAACAGTTCCTGATTTCAAACTATTTTACATAGCTGTTGTAATCAAAGCAGCCCGCACTGGCATGAGCACAGATACATAGGCCAGTGAGCCAGAACCAAGACCACGGAAATAAACCCCTGAGTGTACAGACAGGTGATGTGCACAAGAGCGCTACGGATACTCAGCAGGGAAAGGCAGCGTCCTGGGCACCTGGGCCGGCACCAGGGACCGAGGGTGCGAGATCGCCATCTTGTACGGCTCTAAGAATCAGGCCTCACGCGGTCATGAATGCGGCTGGGTTTACATATGCCACCATGTTTTCTATTAGCCTTTTATCTTCACCTGATCCCTTCTTAAATATCTTTTGAGCAATCAAATATTTTATTAGTTATTCCATATTTCCTCCTTGCTAAAGATATTATCTTTATTTTCAATTTGCAACAACTTTACTCTAATTAAGTCTGTGTGTGTGTATACACAATATATAATATATATATATATATATATATACACACATATATACATATACATACAATATATATACCATATATATAACTTTTCCTGCTTGGAATTGTAAACTTCTTGGGTCTCTGGGTAGTTATCTAGAAAATTAGCAGTATGGCCATTCCTCAAAATGGTCTCTACACAATTTTCTTCTCTTTTCTTTGATTTCAAGTACATAAATTCTGTTCTTCTGATTGTGTTCTGTGTTCATCTTTTTTTTTTTTTCTGTGTATATCAGTTTGGATGTTGTTCATTAATTCGTTCCTAATTGAATTCTGTTATGGCAAAACAGTTGTTAAACTAGTCTTAATTTCAGATATTTACTTCTCAATCGTAAAAACCTTTTTATTTTTATAAATTCTACCTCCCTGGTAAACTTTTAAATCTTTTTATTTTTGCTTTTTAAAAGATTTTCTATTTTCTATATCAGTCACGGTTATCTGAAAGCTCATGTCTGCTAACTTTGGCTTGTGGGTCTCTGTGCATTTACACACATTTGCATAAATACAGTGGTGGGGGGCTGTTGTCTTCCTTCTTCCTAGTTTCTTCATTAAGCAGCTTCGGCTTTCAGCGTGATATGGAGATGTTTTGTCATGTTGAAAGCTACCTACCCCTTTTAACAAACCTCTTTTCCCCACATGTAGAAAGAGCTGTTTTTTCTTTCTCGGTCTACTGAGTTATATTCCTACCTTTTGAGCCAGTCTTATATTACCGGAAGAAAATCACAATGGCTGATGAGACACCATTCTTTAATATAACGCTGGGTGTTGGCTTACCACTTTACTTACAATTTTGCATTAGTATTGAGAAGTGATATTGATCTTCAGTTTTGTTTTTCCTGTGCCATATTTGATAAGCTCTGGCACCAATATTTTGAGTTTCAGAAATACATGTGTCTCCCTTTCCCCATATCGTGCAGAGCACCGTTGATAAAGCTACTTTTTACCGTTTCTTCCACTTTTTAAAGCACGGCGTGATAGTGGAAGTGGAAGGCAAATGCCAAGGCAGGTGTAGACAGGTGCAGCCTGAGGTACCTGGACGGGAGCCACAGCAAGCACCCAAGACACAAAGTGTGTTATGGTGCGTGTGGGGGCCGGGCGGGACCCACGGCTCCACATGAAACCCCTCGTAATAAAACGGGGCGCCCCACGCCTCCCTGCGTGCTGAGCACGTTGCCACGCGGCACAGCAGTTCACAGCACGCCGCTGGGGTGACCGGGACTGGGGTGGTCAGCTGTGTGACCTCCTCTGAGCCGCTTCAGCCAGTGAGCACCAGGACAGCGACACCTACTTTGAACGGTTTTCATCAGGACTACAGGAGACCCTGCGCGCAAATTCCCTACTTTGGGGCGATGTTAAGCTCTACTCCTCTTTATAATGGTGACTACTGACTTTTTCCCCCCAAACGGGAGCCTTTTCTTTGTGAGCATAAAGGCAATGCATCTTCATCGCAAAACTGCAGCAGAAAGACAGAACCGTAGCGCACGGAAGCAGGATGTGTCATTCTGTGCGCAGTGTCACGCCGAGGTCGCCCCGCGAGGAGAGGCTGTGTGCGGCACGCTCCAGGCGTGGCCAGCAGGGCAGGCCCTTACCTTCCCGTCACCATAAGCTCCTTCTCCGTCGCCGCCGGGCGCATCTGGGTGTAGATGTCCAGCGTGAAGAGGGTGGTGGCGCAGTTGAGGTTGGACGTCAGGGAGGAGACGAGCGAGCCCCACAGGGCAGACAGCATCACGCCCAGCACGCCTGCAAGAGGAGGGGCGTGTCCACGGCTCTCCACGGCCAGGCCGTCCCGGCGTTTGGGTTGGACGGGAATTCTACCTGGGGCAGCTCATGCGCTGCTTGGCCTCGCTTGGCGACGAGACATGCGAGTTTCCTGCTGTGTCTTTACGTAGCACTGGGAGCTAATAGCGCCTGGGCTTTGCGCGACTGTTCCTGAAGCCCTGAGAAATGGACGCGGGGGGCCCCCCTGGAGCGGACAGGGAGCCGGTGTCTCGGGGAGGTTCGGATGGCAGCACCGTGATGGGCTCCTTGCCGCTCTGGGTCCTCGCCCGCCTGGCGCACAGAGGGCGGCCCAGCACAGGGCTGCTCAGACTGCTAGGGGCGCTGGGGTGCTCGGGGCGGCGAGCACTCACAGCTGTCACGACCAACACCCACGCTGGTGCTGGGCTCGGAGGGCCGCGGCCCCCGAGGTGCCACGTGCTGCCGGGTGAGCCCGAGGTCCCCAGCGCTGACCTGCGCCGAGCCCGTGAGCGCAGGAGGCCGGAGTCCCGGAGGCCGGAGTCCCGGAGGGAGTCTCGCTGGGGCCCGCAGCCCACGGTCACGCCCGGCCCGGCGCCCCCCGAGTCGCTCGGCTCGGCCGGCACCCAGCAGCCCTCTCTCTGGGCTGTGGAGTGGCCGGCGTGGCTCTCGTCGGATTCCGTCTGCTACATCTTTTGCTGGACTATTCCGGCTTTTCCAGCCTACTGATTTCCAGTGCTAGTGTGGGATGTTTTTTAAGCTGCGCTACGCATTGGTGCAAACCAGACCACGCGCTGCTGCACGGTCCGTGGGGAGGCAGCTGAGATGAGCGCGAGGCTCAGTCACCCCACGTGAAGCCATCGCCCCGCGGCGACCTCACCTGTTCCCCTGGGGCGACGCTGAGAGCTGGGCTGGGCCTCGCTCACCTCCGACTGAGGCGGGGGGCTTGGGACGTTGCCGAGCCGGGTGCAGTCAGGCTGCAGGACGCACGAGCAAGGCCTGACCGAAGCGGGCCGTGGGCAGTGGCCCGTGGGCGCGGCGCAGGCCCGGCATGCGGGAACGGGCAGCCAGGGGCCCCTGCCCGCGGCCCGCTCTCCACCCAGAACACCACAAGCCCGCCCGGCCCCTCCCGCCAGCGCCCCCGCGGTGGTGTGGACCCGCAGGGGCTGGGGCGCCCGCGGAGTCCGTTTCCTACCTGTGGGCAGCAGCTCCACCACCAGCAGCGGGTAGGAGACGAAGCTGCAGCCGGACGAGGCGCCACAGCGCCAGGCACAGTGCGAGGGCACAGCACACGCCACCGTGTCTGCGGGGGAGGCACACACCGCTGGCTCCGGCTCTGGCTTTTGTCCCTTAAATTCGCATGTTCACGCACACAGAACTGGGGTGCGGGCCAGAGGTGCAGGGGTGAGAGGGGGCACCGGTGAGCAGGGAGCAGCGCTGAGGGGCAGCGGGGAGACGGGAGGGCCCTGGCGGGGGGCGGACTCTGCTGCAGGCGCCGTGCTGAGATTGAACCCCCTGCGCCCCAGGGAGGCCCCTCAGTGCCTCTCTAGCGTGTGGAATGAAGCTGTAGCTCGCCGACCCAAGGACGAGGCGCCGACCCACGGAGAGCCACACACGGGCTCCCCCAGGCCGCCCATCAGCTCTATTCGCCTCTTGGCCAGAGCCGAGGGGGTCTGGTCGCCTGGCGTCTGCTCTAGCTGGAGGGAGAAGGAACCAGTCTCTGGCTTTTTTCCTCCCCTGTGGCAGCTTTTGACCCCAAAATACTCCCTCCTCAGTCAGGGGGCACTTCGTGTTGTTTGTGGGCAGGGCCTGGGCAGGGGTGTGGGCAGGGCCTAGGCGGGGCAGGGCAGGGCATGGGTAGGGCAGGGCGTGGGC